CCCTCTCTCCTCCTCCTCTTCCCACGCACCTCGCTTTAATTAGAAATACAAAGAAAATGCTTATCACACACGTCTTAATCAGCAACTCAGTTCCCCAGCAGGTCCAGAAGGAAAACCCCCATTCGTCCTCGCTTCTCCCACCTCCCCCACCACCTCCACAAAATTAGGAGGAGAGTGATTAGGGGGAGAGCTCTGTGAAAGGAGGCTGAATGAGATTAACCCAGAGACCTGGAAAAGCTGGAGGGAAGAGCCAAGAGAAATGTGGTGATGTTCAGCAAGGGCTAATTCTGGAATTTCTGGGGGAAAAAGAGTCCCTGGGCAGCAATGGACTGGGAGAAATGGACCTGGGAGTGCTCAGCAGGGTGAGGATGATACAGCGGTGTGTCCTGGTAGCAAAAATAATTATCCTGGATTGTGGGAGCATAAATACAGCCAGGAGATCATGGAGGTGATTATCCCCCTCCAGTCAGAGCATTTTAGATCATATTTAGCTGCTGCAATCAAGTTTGGGCCTCTTTATACACAACACTGATCACAGGGAATGAGTCCAGGCCATGGGGATGGCCAGAGCTGGTGCCTGGTGTGGGATTAGACACTGGAGAAGTGATGGATTTGGGGGACCCAACAGCAGTGTCCTGTCTCTGGGGGGGGGGGGTTATCAAGGAGATAGAACCAGGATCTTCTGGTGGCTGGTAAGAGGACAAGGGGCAGCAGATCCAAATTCCAACAGGACACAGTTTGGGTACAAGGAAGAAGGTTTTCCCTCCGAGCAATTGCCATCCCTGGAGTTTTCAGTGTCTGAAACCATCTCAGCTGACCCAGCAGCTGACTCAGCTCAGAGTAGGAGGTTGAGGTAGAAACCTCCTGAGTCCCCTTCATCCTTAATAATCCTGAGATCCTGCGCTGAGTGTCAAACGAGGCCGTTCAGCTCCAGGATTCCTCCCCAGCTGAAAAGCAAGGGAGGAGCAAAGAGAGGCAGCAGGGCCTGGAAAGGGACTCATTTACTGGAGCAGGTTTAGGAGCCATTTCACCCCAGACTCTGGCATTTGATGGGACAAGGAGAAGCTGAACCCAGGTAATTTCAGAGAGTTAATACCACTTTATATTGTCATTTCTGGGGTTCCTGGGTGAAAAAACTCTCTGGGGGATGTCTTTGCACCAATCCAGAGGTACAAAGGTTGCAGAGTCTCTCCCAATCCATGTTATCTCTTCCTGGCAGAGCAGGTTTGAGGCAGATTCTGGGGCGCTTAGACCACAGCATAAAAGGCTCCAGATCTCTCCCAACCCCTCAAGTGATTGATGTTTGACTTTTCCTGAACACAAACACAGCTGCCCCAAAATCTTCTGCTTAGGAAAACTGGGTGAAATTGGAGAAGTAAGCAAGGCAGAGGGCAGTCAGAAGAAGTGGCACTGGGAGGGGCTGCTGGATTAGGAATTCTGTGTTATACCCTCCCTTCCCCACTCACTGTGCTATTCTTTTCCTCCCCTCCCTTCAACCAAACCATGCAGCCCTTCTAGGTCAGTTGCTGCTGCCCTAAGCAACCCTCTTGTCCCCTGAGAGCCATCACTAGGGCACAGACATGGACCCTCCTGCACCCCACACAGATTTGAGGGAAAAACAGGAAATCCTGACCCCTGCCCCTCACACCCTTCAACTTAACCACCACCAGTTTGTGATTCTGCTTTAACCTGGGCTCACCGGGACCTCCTTCCTGCAGGACTTCACTGAAACACCCTCTGCCTCCTCCTGTTTTAGCTCCTCTGGGATGGCTGAATTCCCACCAGGAAAAACCGAGCCAGGAGCTTTGGGAGCGAGGACCCACCTTAAGCCTTGCTGGCATCCTGCCCACCATCCTGAGCACAGGCAGGGCACCCCCCACCTGCCAACAGGCTCAAACCCCCCTTTTGGGATTATCCTGATGGATCAGCATCCCACTGCCTCCGGCCACTGGCACTGGGAAGGGACGAGAAGGCCCCAGATGTCCTCAGCACCTCCCCGAGGGTGTTCCGGCAGGGAAACTCTCTCGGATTAGGGAATCCTTTATCTCTGGTTTATGTAAGACCCGGAGACTCCTTTTATGGTTGGCTTTTCCTGCCTTGTCAAGAGCGAAGAACAAATGTAGCTTCATCTGCGCTGGTGGGCCGGCTCACTGATTAAGCATCTGATTCAAAGCTAAGTACAGAACAGGCTTTTGATGGGCGGATTTAATTCGGTGTAAAAAAGCCAGGATGTCGTCCCCCTCCCTCACCCAAAATTCCCAAGATAGTGGATGGTCTGGTGCAATTAAGCCGCGGGGATGACTCCCACCTACCAAAGCCTGAGAAAGTCCAGAGCGCTCCAATTTGTGCTGAAGTGGCTCCTTTGAGTGTTTCCCCCTCTGCATCCCCCCCCCCCCCCCCCCCTTTGCTTTTCCTTTCTCTTCTCTCCCTTTTTTTTTTCCCTTTTTTTTTCTTTTTTTTCCTGCTGCTGATTTACCACCATTCCCAGGCATTTGCATGAGGAGTGAGCTCACCCTGTGTGTGTGTGTGTGAGCTCAGGGGGTGTGCGGGGGCGTCTGACACACCGGATTCCTCCTCATCCCGCCCTCCCCGAGCCCTGCCAGGGGACGCATGTTAATGATGACCTTGCTGAGTAAAGAGTTGTGGAAGGAATAAGTGTTTTTCCTGCGCTCCGAGAGGCGGAAGGTGCGATTACTCATCCATCTCTCCAACTGTCTCTCCAGCACCTTTCAAGCGCTTCTCGCGTCGAGTCTGGGGGCGTGAGCGAGGGGGTGGCAAGCGAGGGGAGGCTGCCAAAATCTGGGTTGCCACAGACACCGGCTTCGCTTTTCCTCCAATGAACGCCGCGCTGAGAGTGCGGGAGGAGGCTGGGCACCACCCACATGTTGAGCTGCGTGGAGTATAAGTAGATGGAGGAGCCTGGACTAGTGGCAGTTCAGACAGGGAGGAGAAGCAGCTCTTTGCATCTCCAGTGAAAGCGGTTTTCGACTCACCTAGTTTGCCCGAGGAGCAAATCACCCGGATTTTTGCTGCAGCTTCTTTGTGCATCTCTTGTGATTTTTCTCCGGCGGGGACTTTGCGGCGTTCCAGATTCCCAGCGGGATTGGGCATCCTATCCAACTCCTCTCTCTCTCTGTTCCTGGAGGATCCTGGTTCTCTCTGGGACTCCCCTGAACACGTGAGACCGGCGTTTCCAGCTTGGCACCGGGAGAAATTTGCCTACAACTCTCTCTGGGATCCACGTGGACCGACCAGCTCGCTCTGCGGTGATATCTGATTGGGTTGTGTTTGTGTCCAAAAGTCCTTGGAGGGGGGTTTAGAAGTCTCTGTGTGTCTCTCAGGAAGTGTTGTGGTGGGGTTTTTCGGGATCCAGCTTTAGTGCCAGGGGCTTATAACCCAGTTCTTTCTGTGTTTGCCACTCGCACGGTCGGAGCCATGCAGCTGGACAATGTCACCAGCGCGGGCGTCCACTCCTTCCAGGGGCACCGTGGAGTTGCCAACAAGCCCAATGTGATCCTGCAGATAGGGAAGTGCAGGGCAGAAATGCTGGAGCATGTCCGGAGGACCCACCGGCACCTCCTGACAGAGGTCTCCAAGCAGGTGGAGCGGGAGCTGAAGGGGTTGCAGAAATCCGTGGGGAAGTTGGAGAACAACTTAGAGGACCATGTCCCAACCGAAAACCAGAGGTGGAAGAAGTCCATCAAGGCCTGCCTGATCAGATGCCAGGAGACAATTGCCCACCTGGAGAGGTGGGTCAAGAGGGAGATGAATGTTTGGAAGGAGGTCTTTTTCCGCCTGGAAAAGTGGGCTGACCGCCTGGAGTCCATGGGAGGCAAATACTGCCCTGGGGAGCAGGGCAAGCAGACGGTGTCCGTCGGGGTGGGAGGCCCGGAGATAAGGCCAAGTGAGGGGGAGATTTATGATTATGCCCTGGACATGAGCCAGATGTATGCCCTGACCCCTCCTCCCGGGGAGGTGCCTAGCATCCCCCAGGGCCACGATTCCTACCAGTGGGTCTCCGTGTCAGAGGATGCTCCAGCCTCCCCGGTGGAGACCCAGGTGTTTGAGGATCCCCGGGAGTTCTTGAGCCACTTGGAGGAATACTTAAAGCAGGTGGGTGGAACGGAGGAGTATTGGCTGTCTCAGATCCAAAACCACATGAACGGCCCAGCTAAAAAGTGGTGGGAGTACAAGCAGGACTCCGTCAAAAACTGGGTCGAGTTCAAGAAGGAGTTCCTGCAGTACAGCGAGGGAACTCTGACTAGGGATGCCATCAAAAGGGAGCTGGATTTGCCCCAGAAAGAGGGGGAGCCCCTGGATCAGTTCCTCTGGCGCAAGAGAGACCTGTACCAGACCCTCTATGTGGATGCAGATGAGGAGGAGATCATCCAGTACGTGGTAGGCACCCTCCAGCCCAAACTGAAGCGTTTCCTGAGCTACCCCCTGCCCAAGACCTTAGAGCAGCTGATCCAGAGGGGGAAGGAAGTCCAAGGCAACATGGAGCACTCTGAGGAGCCCAGCCCACAGAGGACCCCTGAGGTTCAGCCAGGAGACTCCGTGGAGACTGTGCCCCCCTCAACCACCGCCAGTCCCGTGCCGAGCAATGGGACTCAACCAGAGCCCCCCAGCCCCCCAGCCACTGTCATATGAGCTCCCCTCAGGGGGGTCTGGGTTCAGTGGAAGGGAGAAAGGGGGCTTATTTAGGAAGCTTCTCCTTGGAGGGAAGTTCTGGCTGAGACCTGAGGAGCGCTCAGTCCAACAGCCCAGAGCAGAGGGATTGGCTTTGCTCCTGGGGGGAGGGAGGTGGTGGGGGACAGGCGCCCCAGGATGGGGCTGCCCCCCTCGCCCAGGCCGTGCCATGCTGTGGTGCTGGGGACCCCACTGGCACCACTGCGGGGAGCAGCCAATTTTATGAGAATTCCCTGACAAGAAACTAGAGACAATCCCCAACTTGTGAAGCGGCCGCTCGGCACTGGCAGCTCTCAAGGACTTCACACGAGTGCAGCAGTTGGTGGAGGGTTCCTACCCATCTGGATCTCTCTTTTTCCTTCTCTCCTCCCTCCTCTGAGAGGGTGGCCCTGTCCTGGGGAGACAGCTTTCTTTTTGACCCTTGCCTGTTTTTGATTAACCTCTGGGTTTCTGTTTTGGCAATCTCCAGCTCTTACTTGCTCCAAAGGATTAAAGTAATTTTTTTGATTATTTTTTGGTTTAAGAAGAAAAAAAAAATCCTATTATTTCAGGAACTGAAAGCTTTAAGAATCTGGATTATTTTCTGTGGTTTTCATTTCACTGCACCTAATACCTGCTTTAATGTGTTTCCTCTCAAGAGGCTCTTACTGGTTTACTTCTTGTCTTAGTTTCTGCTCACTCTAGTTCAAGGCCACTGCAGTGCAGAGGCAGATTTCATCCTTTCTCTGCACATTATCCTGTGCATTCAGCAGGAAACAGATTTTCTAATTAAATTCTGAGCTCATTTATTGAAGGAGCAGTCTCCTTCCTTTCAGAGAAAAGAGGGTGTTTAAGGTAGAGAGAGGAGACACCAGAGCTCTTTCAAGAGAGACTGGGGGAGGAGGGAAGGGAAAAAACCCCTTATTCTTTGAATGAAACAAACAAACACACCCTAAATTCAGAGCAAAATATCCCCAGAGCAGCAAATCGAGTCCATGCTGATGTGTGGAGACAACAGGAGCTTTTGCCATGTAAAAGCCAAAAGAAGTGAAGAGAGGATCTGTGTGCCCCAGCACAGTTTTAGCCTGTGCATCGCTGCAGGGAGTTTCTGCTCACACAGACAGACTCCAAATGCTCCTGGAAAGCCTGGCACCCCTGTCCTGGAGCACCTGAGGACAGAGTGTTGTCTGCTCACAGAGGAATTCCTGCAACATCTCGCCACAGATGGAGATGGACTTGGACTTTGTGACTTCTTCCATGTTGAGACAGGAAACGCTCAGCACTCACCTTTGGCCAGTGCTTGATGACAGGACTGAGAGAAGCAAGACGTTCCTGAAGTTTGGCTCTCCAAAGCTTCCCGAGGCTGGACACATCTTGGGCATCATCTGCATCCACCTCCAGACCAAATAAACAGCGGGGATGCAGCAGCAGGCGTGGCCCTGGGATGCTCCTGGCACCGCCACAGCAGTGACATGTGGCCCTGGTGGCTCGGAAGGCCTTTGCTGTGACTCCTTCCAAGAGGCTGAAGGTAAGGAAGCTCTCTGGCATTCTCTCCTCAGGGCTAAACTGGTCATATAGAATGTCCAGTAGAAAGTGGGATAAAAACTCAGCAGAAATGGGATATGAAGCATTGGGGTTGGGAGAAAGGAGAAGGGAGAGCCAGCCAAAGGGAAATGCAGGAATGGGAAAAGTTTCAAAAGAGGGCATTATCCTGCACTTTCTGATTAATCTGGCAAACGAATGGGAAGCTTCTTAATTAGCCCAGCCCCAGAACCTGCCTTGTCCTTCATGGAGAGCCTCTGGGCTTGAGTCCCCACCTGAGGCAGCACATCCCAGGTCCATGCACAGCCCAGAGGAGCTGCACGTCTGCTCTGCATCCTTGCTGGGAGCTGGTCTCAGGAATGGTGGGAGCTCTCCTCTCACTTGTTCCCAGTTTGTCAACAGCTCTGTGTGCAGAGAAAGGGAGCATTTCTCACTAATGACCCGGGCTGAGTGATGGGGGAGTGGGAGTCACTGTGCTGAGGATGAGCTGGCCGTGTATTACAAGCTTTGTCTCCTCTTGCTTCCAGTGACTCACTCAGATCCTCCTCTGAGAAGGAATCACTTCACATCATGCAGCATTTGGGAGGAAAGCCACAGAAAAAAGCTGCAAAACGAAGGCCTCAACATCAGACCTGCTCTCAGGACCCTCAGCCACCAACAGCCAGATCCACCACCTGAAGGAAAGACTGGCACAGGTAATTACATCCCATATTGCCTTGTGGGTCTGCCTTAATCCCCCCAGAGCTCTGACCTGAGATATTGAACAGCCCAAGTGCAAATAGCTGTGCTGGTGTTGACACCTCAGTCCCAGGGGCTGCAGCAGCCTGGCACCACCTGAGAGGTGGGATTTCAGCTCCTTGGTGTCAGAACCCAAGCACCAGCCCCAGTAATTGATGCTCCAGGGTCTGCACATTGTGGCTTTCCCATAGCTGGACCATAGGCAAATCCTTAAACCCCAACACCCAGTGGGTCCTCCAGGCTGCAAGCACAGCAAAATTTAATCCCAGCTCCTGAGAATTTCCCCTTTCTCCCCACTTCAAAAATCTAATGGGAGTTGGTGCATTTTTTTTTTTCTTTTCCAGCAATCCCTGCTGCTGTTGCTGAGATTCCTTCTCTGTGTCCAAGAGCTCTCCCAGGGGAGAAGAAAGTGCTGCAGGAAGACAGAGGGCAAACCATGCACCAAAGAGCCTCCCATGCAGTGCAATGCAAACATTCAAGGTGCTGAGAGCCAGAATGAAACTGGGAAGCTGCTTCCAGCAGGACAAAGAAAAGCCTGAGCTGGTCCAGGTACTCCAAGTGCTGAGAATGGAAAGAGAGGCCAGAACAGAAGAACCAAGTCCAGGCTTTGGGGACAGCAGGGATGCTGACTGTCTGTGGAGAGGATTCTGCACACCTCTGCAGTCTGGGGCCGCTGGGACTCACCTAAAGAAATCTTCACTAGAAAATGATCCTCACTGAAAAAAAAACCAAAACAACAAACTTTCCTGATTAACTTTGCCAGGGGGCTGATCCTGCCTTGGCTACGAACCCTCCCTGCTGGCCGTGCTGTAACTCACCTCTCCTGAGTCCTTTCATGCGGGTATCAGTTCCAAACCTCAAAGGGCTCCCGGAGTTTGGAGAAGCATCCCACGGTCCAGATGCTTGTCTGAACTGTTGGAGCCTGCACATCTGGGCCAGCTGTCTTGCCAGCAAGGAGCCTTGTGAGACAGCAGGCGCTCTCTGGGTCTGCATGGGCCAGAGTTACTGCAAGAACCGGGGTTCTTGTGCTGGCTTTGGAGTGACTGTTTCCATCCAGACCCAGGGAGCCCAAAAAGAGCTCGAGTCAGCTGGACAAGACAGTTTTGGTTCATCTCTCAGCCGAAGAGGTCCAGTTGGTTCCTCTCTCTTCCAGAGCCAACTGTCCTGTGTGTGGGTGTGGGTGTGCGTGTGGGTGTGGGGGGTGGGTGTGTGTGTTGAGCAAAAAAATCCACATTACTTAAATTCTGTGGTGTTTTGTTGCATTTGAATTAAGCCAGAGGGACCTAAGGCACATTCCAACAAGGCTCAGCAAAAATGTCCAGGACTGGAAAATTCCATAAAACCATGTAAAGGCAGATTCCCGGGCATCATCTTAAGGTCTAAATTATATTTAATTTTGAGGTGCTTATTTTCACAGTCTCTTCCAAGGGACTAGACTGCCTCAATAGGCATTTTATTTTTTCTGCTTTTTTAGGGAATTAAGCCTGTCTGTGCTACTTGGTCATTTGGTCCTGAGTTTTTTTACATTTTCAGCTGGCTTTTTGGAGTGTGCAGAACTGAATTTCCTGGACTGATTTGATTTAAATTGTTGCTCCCAGCAAATTGGAGCTTTACTTGTAGCACCCTGGTTTTTATTACCAGTCTCTCCAGGAAGGACTGGTAGTTTATTCTCCTGGGGCAGAGTCACGTGAATGAGAAGTGTGTGGATGTGTTGTACCTCTGGAATTTTAGCAGATTTCAACCACTGCATTTTTTTTTTCCTCCTTAGGCGATTTTGCATTTACTGATGAACTACTTTAGAGGTTTTATTTTTACTAGAGATACTATTAATTCAAGCAACCTTGTGCAAAAGGCAAACTCATTGAATCGCTGCAGGTTGTAGGGGTTGAAGCCAAAAGGTCTTTGTAAGCCGACATCACCTGCCCTGGATCTGGCTGGATCAGGCAGTTTATTCCTCATGTGTCATGTTGGAGTTACAAGATCACACCAAGCCACTAGAGCCTGCCAGTAGAATAGTGCTACACTCGATTTGCTATTGTAGCAAAGCCTTTTGTAGATTTATACAATAAAACTTTGAAATATCTGCTTCAATTGCTTCCTGCCTCATTTTCTGCCCTTTCTTCCTTGGTTCATGGCTGACTCAAGTATCTACTACCCTCTGAAAATCCGGGTTTATTGGGGTTACCTGGCTTATGGAAATCTTTTTTCTCAGCAAAAGCATGTGGTTGACATAAAAATGAAATGCGCTGAGTTGTTCAGACCTTAAAACTGAGTCAGGTGTAGCCCGTGAGGTTGGGAGGAGCTGCCCTTTGTGGGACTGTGGATCCTGCAGGGCTCTGGTTGGGTACAGCTGAGACAAGAATCTTTGAAATGAGGACAATCACATTCCTACCCATGTTAGAGAAATTCACAGAAGAACTGAGGCAAGACAGGATGAGGTAAAGCAATTAAACCTCAAATCAGCTCCATTTGACCACCAAAGAGCCTTTGGGAGTGATAAACACCCTCACCCAGCAGAGATCCAGGAGCTGGGGCTTTGTTATCTGATGCATTCTCAATTCCTTGGGTTCATTACCTCTAAAACATCCAGGGGTTATCCAGGCTGGAGTCAGGGAACACAGCAGGGAAAAGAGTTCAGAGTGTTTTAAACTAAAATGTTTATTTTTAGCAATAGATTGATTAGCCACAAAGATGTTCAGCTAAAGGACTTTGCCTCTGCAGATCCTTTTCCAGAAAATCTTTGCACTCTGATGGATTTAGCCCCATTCCCTGCTCCATGCCTGGTCTTTCTCCAATGAAGGAAAACAGTCCAGGGTGGGATGCGACTGGTAAAGTGCACTTGGGTGGGTCAGCTGGAGAAACAAAAGGAGTAATTCTGTTTACAGCAGGGAATAAATGCCCAGTGGGCCTCCCAGAGATCCTTTTTGAGCTCAGGTTGGAGAGGCAGAGGTGATCTGAAGGCCAGAGATGCCTCAAGGGGAGCTGCTGACCTTGGAGTCTCCGGCTCTGCAACTCATTTAACCACAAACTCTTAGCAAGAGTGAGAAGGAAATTTTTGAAGGTGCCATTTGGTTCCACAACTGAACTCTGCCTTTGTTGTCAGAATCAGTAAAAAAGTGGGGGGAAAAAGCATTGAGGGGACAGACCAGTGACAAAAATCCTTCCAGTGCCACCCCAACCTGTGACAGTGTAGAGAAGCTACAGGTGATCAGGTTTAGACTTCTCATGGTCTATGGACATGGCCAAAAGTGCCATGAGCAACCTGATCCTTGCAGAACAAACCAGCAAGAGCTGCACCAGCCCTGCCAGAGTTCAAGAAGCATTTGGACAATGCTCTCAGGTGCCTGATGGGGTTTTTGGGGTGTTCTGTGCAGGGCCAGGAGCTGGATTCGCTGATCCCTGTGGGTTCCTTCCAATTCAGGAATTTTGAGGGTACTGAGCTCAGCTGGAGGTGCTGAGCTCTTCCAGCAGAGGGGGGCAGAACTCCACTGTACACTGTGGGAATTAATACCAGGAAAAGCACTAAAGAGGGAAAAATCTGTCCTAGTCATCATCCATCCCCACACGGCCCATCCCCACAGGACACAAGATCAGGGGTTGCTTCAGTGAGGGAGGTCTGAGAGAATGGGAAAAGAGAGGTCATGTGGGGAAGGGATGAGGACCGATGGCCAAAACTGCACTGGAGGGACATGGACAGGATGGAGATAGGAGGTGGGAAATGAACCTGAGGCTGGAAGATGCCTGCCTGTTCCAGGTAAACTCATAAGGTTTCCAATTTTGCCCCAGAGTCTTCCAGGTTTGACTGTAATCATTATTATTCCCTTACTTTCCGACACTTCCAAATGAAAATCCCTAGAGAGTCATTGGACCTACACTGATTAATTAATGGAAAAATGGCTTATTACTGCTCCTGGCTCTCAGAGTAGGGAGTCACCTGGAATAGATGCAGCCCAGTGATGGATTAAGTGCCTCAAACCACTGAAATCCCCTTCAAAATCAGAGTGGGAACTATCCAAGATCCAAAGTATTCACAGAGGGAACAGCCTCAGGTTGCACCAGGAGTGGTTTAGGTATTAGGGAAAAATTCTTCACTGGAAGGGGGGTCAGGCATTGGAACACTCTGGAATCACCATCCCTAGAGGTGCTCAAAAGCCCCGTGGATGTGGCACTTGGGGACAGGGATTGGTGATGGATCTGGCCATGCTGATGGTTGGAATGGATGATCTCAGAGGTCTTTTCCAGCCATAATATTTCCATGATTCCATAAACGGTAGAGAAAGCGTGTGAGGCCAAGCTCTTACAGAACTGAGAAAAGCATCATCAATTCTTGTTAATTTTTATTTTCTTCTTTCTTTATTGTGACTGGACTGATGGGTTCCTTAATTTGCTTTTCCGGGACAGATTAAAGAAGGAACCGAGATGGACCTATTGCACATACAAATTATTTTATAGAATCATAGAAGGATTTGAGTAGGAAGAGATCTTAAAGATTATCCAGTTTCACCCCCCTGCAATCCTGCAATGGGCAGGGACACCTTCCACTAGACCAGGTTGCTTTGTTTCTTTTTTTTTTTTTCCCATGTTTTTAGCTTTTTTTTTTTTGCCTTTTATCTCCTTTTTTAATCAAAGCTATTGCCCCGTTCAGTGACGGTAAATCATATTTATTGACTTTCCAGGCAGGCCTTGTGTGTGTGCACAGCCCAACTGCTCCCTTGGATCTCCTTTTTCCACGTAATTAAGGAAGGCTGTGAAATTTCCATTATTGACACAAATGGGCTCTAATGGCTCCAATTATCGCATCCCAACTGCTCCAGTGAGTGCTGGGTGCTCCCATCATGGAGCAGGAAGTTGTGCCAGACCTGTTCCTGCAACACTCATTTGTACCAAGGATGAACTGAAGGCAGTTTTTGTGTCTTTACAGCTGATTTTTAATCATTAGGAATTGCAGGGAGAGTTGCTGTGTAGATCCAGCTCGATTCTTGACGCAGTTTGTGGTGATTTTTATGGAGGACACGGCCGTTTTCATTACTTTTTAGGATATGTTTAGGGATTTTTAGGATCCTGTTATGTTAAAGTGAGCCTGCAGTGTCAGTGTGGTTTTCAGTCATTTCATATTGGATGTTTATCAACTTTCACCTCCTGAATTCATATGCCTGGAAGGGAGCTGGAGTGGGAATTTTACAAGGGCACAGCATGATAGGACAAGGGGAATGGCCTTAAGATGAAGGAATTTAGATTTAGGTGGAGCGTTGGGAAGAAATTCTCCCATGTGAAGGTGGGGAGGCCCTGGAATGGAATTCCCAGAGAAGCTGGGGCTGCCCCATCCCTGGCAGTGTCCAAGACCATTTGGACAGGGCTTGGAGCACCCTGGTCCAGTGGAAGGTGTCCCTGCCCATGGCAGAGGCTGGAATGAGAGATGATCTTCGAGGTCACTTCCAAGCCAAACCATTTTCTGATCCCATGAATTTATATCCTGCAAAACCAGGGATTCCCAAGCTCACTGAAAGCCTTCATGTTTCTGATATGGAGCTGATGAGTTTTTCCGTCCCTCCTACATGTGCTCAGACAATGCTGTGTTAAAGGAATTGAAATAATGCAGAAAGTCAGATTTTATGAATCTGACAGAAACACTTAGTGGCATAAAGTGCTTTGTATTTTTCTGAAGGAACCGAATCTTGACATCTTCAAAATGAGGTTTTTGACTTCTTTCTGAAAAACGCCACTTAAAAACTGACTTCAAAAAGAAAACCAAAACAAAAGAAAAGAAAGGAAAAAAAGTAAGAAAAAGGTTAGAAAGCTGAAAAAAGAACTTGAATTTACTGTTTTGGCACCCTGAGGCTTGTGCTGAGTTGGTGCAAGAAGAAATGTCTTTTTCCAGCTTCATTTCAATTGACTGAAATATCAGGAGAATTTCTCATCTGACCTGACTTTGCCCTATTTTGCCCTTACCTGATTTGATTATTCAACTAAATAAACTCAGATATTTCCCTTGTTGCAGGATTTCCACTCTCTGTGCTATTCTGCTGTAGGAATTTCAGG